GAATAAAAAACCTAGAGTTTCAAAAAGTTAACTTTTGAAATGCAGCTCCAAGATTGTTTTAACTTAGGACCTTATCACATGGAGTATTTTCCCCATTATAGGACACTTCATCTCCATTTCAAGGACTAGGAGACATGGAACCTATCACATTATGTTTGCCTTCTTCCAGCCATCATACATTGCCCTTCATCCTTGAAATGGAGATGAATCATGCTAAAAGGAGGGAACTCAGAACACAGTCGAGTAATCATGTCTGAGACCCTGGCATGTGCCAGAACCATTGCTAATGACAAAAAACACATGTAATAGAATCTGACAGATTTGCCCATGTTGAATCATTTCAACACGGTGGAGAAATGGGCATTCCTCACCACTAGGCTCAAAATTGTACTCTTGCTAGCTTTCTAACAAAACACTAGTCAATGGAGGGAAGGATAGTCTATCATGAAGGGATCATGGCAAGGAGGTTTATAATTACCCTGGCCTAATGAAGGGAAACAGAACCTAGCCGGGGGGGGGGGGGATCATGGCAAAGAGGTTTATAATTGCACAGGTCTAATAAAGGGATGTCCACAGGAAACCTTTCAGAGATAGTAACTACCCTATCCAAACTTCACATGAGTAGATTTCATATTAGTACAGTTCATGGCCAACCACCTGAATGCACACACATTATAGTGACAGTATATAAATACAAGTTTTCCAAACTGTGTAAACTGTGAAATATTATTTTCTTTTTACTTTACATCACTTTTGTGAGTTATTTTGCATGTATGCATCTTGTATATATACAGAATCTGAATTCACCATGTTGTTTTGAACTTATCTGTCAGAGCAAAATATTTGACAAATGATTTTTTTATTTTTTTTAAAGGAGTATATGAAGACAGGAACTTGATACATCATTTTAATTACTGTGCTAACATGTATTTATATGCTTTGCATTTACCTTGCTGTAGCAGATAAATATGCCATATGAATTGCAATGATTTAAAATGGGGGGATTGGAAATGATCCATTATATTGGTCTCATGCTTTGTGCAGCATTGTGACAGATCAAGAGAATTTACAATTTAAGATGCACATCAATTGTACTTTAACTTCTGCAGCAGTGTAAATCTTCACGTTTGTTTTCATGTCCTTCATATTTGTAATGGTGCATTGCCAGGAAGATGCCTTGCCAAAACGGATTAAAGAAAAAAAAGCAAAAAGCTTAAGTTAGTCATATGCTACCATCCAAAACAATCAGAACTGGAGCCAGTTTAGTGCACATAAGTTACCTTGGAAGGATTAATTTATGCTGTTGAGCCTCATAATATGTGTAACCAACAAGGAGCTGTCTGGAGACAGGGATTTTTGCAAATCTTTCAGCTAGATCAATGAGCCAAATGCAAAATCTAGCAACCAGGGACATCATGTAGATTTGTGATGCTCCCTAGGGCAGCTGGGGTCCAGCGACCAATGAGTGGATTACACTGATCCATAAATGCAGTTTCTCATCTGTGACAGATATAATATAAATGCTATTATTCATATTGCATATGTGGAAGGGAACAACAGACAATGAATATTGCTTTCCTTTTTTAAAAAAAAAAGTGAAAGAGTAGAGAATTTTTTAGCAGGTGATGACAGATTTCTTCACACGATTGTGTCTGATCTATGCTGAAGGTTCCAAAAAAACTATCTGAAGCTTTTTAGTGCTTGCAACAACTCCCTTGCAGCTATCCTTTTATGAGTAACTAGCTGTACCCGCCACGCATTGCTGTGGCAAACCTTCCCTCCCTCTTTCTCCTCCTTCTTTTTCTCTCTCCTTCCTTCCCTCCCTCTTTCCTTCTTTCCCTCTTTCTTTTCTCTTCTTCTTTCTTCCTTCTCTACCTGTTTCTTTTCTTGCTTCCTTTGCTGTTTGGTTTCACCCTTCCTTGTCTCTTTTCTTCCTTCCTTCCTTCCTTCCTTCCTTCCTTCCTTCCCTCTTTCGTTCCTTCTCTCCTTCCTTCCTACTTTCACTTTTTTATTTCCTTCTCTCTTTCCTTCCTTCTCTACCTTTCTTTCCTTTTCTCCTTCTTTCCCTCCTCCTCTCTTTCCTTCCTTCTCTACCTTTCTTTCTTTCCTTCTCTCCTTCTTTCCCTCCTCTCTTTCCTTCCTTCTCTATCTTCCTTCTTTCTTTCTCTCCTTCTTTCCCTCCTCTCCCCTTCCTTCCTTCTCTACCCTGCTTTCTTTCTTTCCTTCCCTCCTTCTTTCCCTCTTTCTCTCCCTCCTTTCTTCTCTATCTTTCTTTCTTTCCTTCTTTCTCTCCTTCCCTCCTTCTTTCCCTCTTTCTCTCCCTCCCGTTTCGTGTCGTTTTTGTTGCCCTCGGTGGCCCCCCACAGCTCCCATGCCCTCCCCGAGCATGAGTGGTTACATCGGTCTGGTGGGCTTTCTCAGGCTGGGCTTGTGTAGAGGGAGGCAAGCAGATGACAGTGCGCATGCGGAGGGAGATTTGGGCGCAGGGAAAGCTGGGAAATGGAGTCCTTCCTCATCGTTTTCCTCCCGAGGCAGTGTGCATGCGAAGAGAGATTTAGGCGTGGGGGAAGCTGGGAAATGGAGTCCTTCCTCATCGTTTTCCTCCCGAGGCCTCTGCGCATGGTCCGTGTTTTCCGGGTATTGTGCGTTTGAGTTGTTGTGTATTGGAGTTTTGAGGGTTGTTGGTCATACCTTGGGGGAAGAGGTATTAGCGGGGCAAATGTGGTGAGATTTCGTCCAGTGGTTTAGCCATTTTTGACCGCCTAATTACGACCTTAAGGTTCTTATATATATAGATGAGAGCTGCCATTTTTCATAGATTGAATGTGTGCTTATCTAGCTAACACAGTAGAGAGGTGTCCCCCGATTATCTCTGGCCAATGATACCATGCCTCATAGAATCCAACAACCTTTTTCCTTCAACTAACTTCATATTATATTGGGGGCAGGGGAAGATATTATTGAGAAACCCACCATAGGAGTCACAAATGTGACTCCAAAATGTTTGGCTTTTATTAGAGTCTGAATATATGAACAAGTCCTTATTTTGATCAATAACCAGAATATAATTCTGAATTAACAGACAAATCTTTATTTTGATAAACAAACAGAATAGAATTTGAAGGTTTGTGTTCTATAATTTGTTGAAGTGTGTATATCTTATGGCATATTATGTCTTTGGCGCTATGGTTAGGAAAATTGATTTTAAAAAGCAGACGAGTATGCTAAAGTCCAGAGGAGGTACAAGAGCATTTAAAGAATCAATACTGACATATGGATTTAAATAAAGTAAGTATAGAAAATAAGTCTGCCTATATGGATGCAGAAAGCTACAATTCAATATTTTTCATCTATTAACACATCATCATGTGGCACTTCACCTAAGCAAGTGCTTAAAAGTTTAATGTTTAGATCTTCACAGTGGTCATGGAGGTATAAGTACTAATTCCAGTGCACACTTCTCACTGGGACAAAATTGGATTTACTGTACAGCTAATGTACTGAAAACAAAATACACTATGTTGGTCTGTGATTAATAGAAATTGTGCACACATGTGTACAGTATTTCTAAGTGGCTTCCCCCCATCTAGGCAATAATTTGGTTCACTTCTGCAAACTTGTGGTGTCATGTGCCTCCTTGGGTGCATTGAAAGAAACAAGGATAATGAGGCATAATTCAGTTTCTCCATTCTGCACAGGTCTTGACTATATTTGTAGTACTCATTTCACAATCTAAAAGCACTGCTGAAGTGCATCAAGAGAACAGCCAGAATTGGATGGAGTTTGCAAACCAACTTTCATGAAAGAAACAGTTGAAACCTCTAAGTGTGTTGAGTGGATGAGCAAACATTAAGACATATCATTGTAGAATCATAGAATAACATCTTTTTTTACATTTTGGTAATATATGCCTGCTTTTATGTTCGTGAAGTCAGAGCTAGAGTTAATAGATGGCAATTAGAGGTAAGCATATTTCAGTTAAATGTTTGGAGAAGCATCCCAACAGTAAAAGATATTCAATAGAGGAGGAAAACTATCTCTAAAGGTAGTGCATTTTCTTTTGCTGGAGTTATACAAGTAGAGGCTGGACAGGAAGGTTGCATCTTACCATCTAATCAAATTGACTAATGGCTCTGTCTTGAAAGTATCCTACAGTGGAGCCCTGAGAACACAAGTGACTACCCATGTTCTCATAGCCCAAAATGGGATCAGCACAGATAGAAGCCGAGTAGTAACGCTGTCCCTCATGTGGTAGGCAAGGCAGAGTTCCAGGGTGTAGGATAACAGTTTCATGCAACACCCCATGGATTTGCCACACTGCCCAGCAAATACCCACACTGTCGCCTGCATCAGGTATTTTTTAAAATCAAAAAAGGTATCTCCATGTGATGAGGTTGTGTGTAGCAAATTTTACTGTGAGAAGGCACTTCGATGTGAAGAGAATTAAGATTCATTGAATTCAGACTATAGCTCAAATGCAGTTTTGAACCAAAACTCTTTTCTTTCATTCATTTATCTACCCACAAAGTCTCAAGCATGAGAAACTACAGAAATTACTCATCAAACTGGCATCCTTTAACCTCGTTTATCAAAGCATAGCAAAGTTGACACATGTAACTGGTGTTGCAATATCTACATTAGCTCTTTCTAGGGATTAGCAAAGCACCATAAATCTTTTATTATCCCTTCCTGTGTGGATGTAGTCTAGTCCAGAACGCAGCTTAGATTAACATATGTTTTACACAGGATTAAAGATGATTTAGAGCTTCTTCATTTTTCCACCCTTACTTTTAGTAGCAATGAAAAAGAAATGGGGCGATAAAGTTCAATGGTGCCTTGCTCTTCAGCTCCTATGTCTAAAACAAAAGATCCAGCTGTTCAATACTGTAATCATATTAGTCTTTGTTTTTTACTTCTTTTTATTCTTGAAAACAAAATCAAGATTGTTGCAGCGTATTTCATATTCATCTTCCCCATTGTATATTTTCCCATAAATACAGTGCCTACAAAAGCTCCATGGCAAAGAAAAGAAAAGCTGAAGAACAGATTTTGGGTGTTCCTGTCAACAAAAGGAAGTCTCTGTTAATGAAACCTCGCCACTACAGCCCCAGTGTGGAAGGCAAGGGGGGAAATGAGGAGACGACAGAACAGCAAGATAAGAGCAGTGTTGTTGTAACAGGTATCAAGAGAAATTGGCTCCAAATGAACTCAAATCTAATGTTCTCAAGGGGAAAGGGAATAAGAGAAATGACCTTATTACCTATGAGGAAGGATTATTTTTGAATGCATATGATTAAGAAGAGTGACTTCCTGCAATGTAAATGTCCATGTGATTGTGTCCGAAGATAAAAGGAAACCCCTCTCTCAATGATCTTAAAACCAATGTAGGCTGAGATAGGAAAATTTCACAGATAGCCTAGGCTGAGGATAGGGCTTTGTAAGTAACTATATTTATTTGATGCATTTATTTGATGCATTTATTAACCGCCATTCTCAGCCCTCCAGGGCGACTCATGGCGGTGTACAGTATAAAAGGCAGTTTACAAAAAAGTTTACTATACAGTATTTTGAATAAGTGTATTTGCTATAACAATAGAGTCCTGTGATCTCTGTAGCCAAATAAGTCCATGCTAAACTCATGTATCACTCTGACCAAGTCTGGTATTTTCAGGAACGGGTACTATTAGTGCACCAGCAAGGTATTTCTAGCTGTCAGTAAAACCTGAGCATTCAAGGCCAGGGCAGAAGTCAGAACCTGGAACCCTATAAAGACACCAATTTCACACAAAACAGGTTGAATCTGTGTTCCATCTTCTACCTGTTGACTGCCTACATTTTGCCTGACACCAGTAAATAATAGTGAGTGGTCTTCTCTGGGAAATCAATCCAGTGGTATAGTGGAGAGATTTCCACATTCCTAACCCCTGTGGATTACACATTGGATTGTTGCATTATCTGTACCTTTGACCACCTCCCTGCACAAGGCTGTGAATGAATTACCATACAAGGGCACTGTACCCCAGGAAGCAGGCTTATAGGGTTCAACCCCCTCCCCAAAATGTTTCAGATTAACTGTTTTACTCATGAATTTTAACTGGTTAGCCAAATCATGAGTTAATCAGGGTTTTTTTTAACCTGAAACATTTTGGGGGGCTTGAACCCTTAACACCCCCCCCCCCAGCTACAGACCTGCCAGGAAGTCCACCCTGGATCCATTGATATTTTCAATTATAGCAGAGGCTCTGCTGCCTGATACCTTCTCACTCACTTTTTACCACCTCCTTGAGGTATGTGAACCCTTCAGTCATTCTAGAAGGATTGCCTTTTCTCAATATTCCTCTGTGCTTTTCTTGGCCTGAACAAGCTGGATGCAGGGAAATCACTGTGGGAAACAATGCCAACCATCACATTCTGCTAGCTTAGAAAGCTGAAGTTATGGAGCCTAGCCCTGGTGGGAGGGCAGGTAAGGACTACAGCAGCCATCAGACAAGCAAGGACTCACTCTTCCTGATGCCGTGGTGCTACTCCTTGTGATGGTGTCACCCTCTGCAATCTACAGAGCATACACATACCCCATGATGTCACTGCTCACATCACTGGTGCACATGCACACCCCATGATGTCACTGCTCACATCACTGGTGATGATTATACATCTGTTGTTCACGTGTAGAGGACAAATGTCTATGGGTAATAAGACACCCATCTCTACACTGTCTGTGTAAATAGTTCTGACTAGGCACATACCTGCCAAAGATTCCAATGTCATTGTCCCCCCACCTACCCACCCCCACTGAAAAAAATAATGGTAGCTCTTTATGTCTCAGTCATAAGGGACAGATAGTCCACTTCTCCAGCTTTTATCAAAGCTTGAGTAGAGCAGGTAGAATGCCAGAGGCACAACCAATGGTATGGCTCTGATGCTCCTAAAGCACAGTCTTTAAATCTCCATCTCTTTTTTAAAATCATCGTAATATAATGTATTGACATAGTCCTTCATTCCATGAAGTAGGAGAGAAAAGATGGCTCTTCTGGGATGAAGATAGTAAGGGCTGAGTATGCCTTATCTGAAATGGTTAGGATCAGAAGTGTTTGGGATTTTGGATTCCCCTGCCCTGAATTTTGGAATACATGTATTTGCATATACATACATTGAATAGAACCATAGAATCATAGAGTTGGAAGAGACCTCATGGGCCATCCAGTCCAACCACCTGCCAAGAAGCAGGAAAATTGCATTCAAAACACCCCAACAGATGGCCATCCAGCCTCAGTTTAAAAGCCTCCAAAGAAGGAGCCTCCACAACATAATGAGATGTCTTGGAGATGGGACCCAGATCTAAACAGAAAGTTCATTTATGTTTCATAGACAGCTTATACATATAGCCTGAAGGTGACTTTGTACATTTTATAGTATTGTGAGGGTAGTGAAAGGGGAAATTATTTTAAAACTATAATAATTCATTCATTTTTTTATTTATTTATTTACAGTATTTATATATTCTCCTTTCTCACCCCTGGGGGGACTCAAAGCGGTTTAAGCATAAATAATGGCAAGATTCAACACCTTACGTTGGGCACCAGTACAATGCCAGTACAAACAATTACAATAGTAAAACCACAATTAAACATAAATCACAATTAAAACGATACATCAACAAGCATTAAAACAATAAACATGCAGAAACTGGTGTTGTAAAGAAGAAAATGAGATTCTGAAAATAAAATTAACTATTTTCTTCTTCTGCAGAGGAAAAAAAAGTACAGCATGTAATAGCAACATATACTGTGTAAACTGAGTAGACTCTTGGTACAGTATTGCCTGCTGGGGGAAAAACACAATCTGAAAGATGTACCTCCGATTAATATGTGGTTTCTACTTACAAAATCATTTGTATCCAATTCATGGTTCATCAGTAATAACAAACACACAAGAAAGGATCAAAACACCAATCTTTACTGTTTTTTGTTTTGTGCACATACCTATTATATAACAATGCTCTTTCACTTGTCATGCTTATAAAGTTTCTCAAACTTTTGCTTTAAGCCCATTCGGAACTAATCTGTAAGGTCTAGAATTCTAAAAATAAAGTTGTACCAGCGTTTCAAGCCAGGATACAAGAAAAAGTAAATGTAGCAAAACTGTTCCAAAAAGGGCTACTTTTGGGGGTGGGGGTAGGTCCTGAATTTTTGAAGAAAATGTGTAAGAAAGAAATAATAAATATTTTCTTATAACATATAACAAACAGTTGAACCAAACAATTATGTAACTGGAAATGACCCAAAATGCTAACAGTTTGGCAGCCATAAAGTGAAAAGCATTGTGGTGGCACATGTGCATTTGTGTCCTCCTCCTCCCTTCCACAATAATCTGCACTTAATAGGAATATTTTAAACTATGTAGCTAAGCAACAGAGGTAATTGTTGCTTTCTAGAGCTTTTGTTAGGCACTCCACCATAGCCCAAATATGCATAATTAGGTATAATGTCTATAAATCATTATTGTACACATGTGGGTAGTTAAGTGGATTGAGAGAACAGTTCAATGAATTGGACATATTCACTGAAAATGCTTTTTATTTGTTTTTGGTAGTTGATAATACTTTGAAATTATGATAAACCTTTTCACTTTCTCTTAATAGCTCACTGTTGCTGAGACAAAACTTCATTTGCATTTTTAGATTATATTTAATTTATTATTTAAACCTCGAGTTGTTCTGGTATGGATTTTGCATAGAACTGGCCCATCTTATCTTTTATTATAAGGTTGTTTCTCTCTCTGCTCTGGGAAGTAAAATGTGGAATGGTCCAGTTTATGTTGAATACATCCCAACAAAAGAATGCACCCTATAATCAGCATTATTGAAGGGGCTAGTGTTGTGGCTAAATTCTTCCCTGCATCCAAAAATGCTTTTAGTTACTATGGTAATATTTACTTGATCCTGGCAGGCCAGTGTTGATTTTAGGGAGATAATTACCAGAAAAGAAGATGATGGAGATGTATTTTGGAGTGTCCTTGTCGGGGGGGGGGGGGGGGGGGGAGGTGAAGTGTTCAGCAAAAAATTAAATGAAACACAAAGCATTTGTCTTTCAGTTTTTGAGGCCCTATCCCTGTAGCCTCTATTGCCTGCTGATTTCTGATGTGATTTCAAAGTTTTAAAAAGTTTCTCAATACAGAACACATATTGCTTCACAATGTTTTAGAAAACTAGAAATGTTTTTATTTTTAAAAAAACATACTTTGCTTTGTGATTTCATGTATTCTATACTTGTATAGTCACAGTAACTAGTGAGAACATATCAACTATAATGTGGATCTTCTAATACTCAAAAACAGACTAAAGTGTAGTTTTTTAAAAAACAAATCTAATTTATGGAGGATATAGACTGATAAAAAGTAAGGATCATGGCATTTTAATCAACAATAAAAATAATAAAGGGTCCAAGCTTATGCATTATTATTATTATTATTATTATTATTATTATTATTATTATAAACACAATAAGATTAGTACACAGCAAAAAGATAATGCTGGCTATTGTATTGGATCACACATTATTATTATTATTATTATTATTATTATTATTATTATTAAAAACTGTTTAGCTTGACAACAATAAGTCAATTTATTTTTCTTACTGACCATTTTGGCAAAGCAGTCCCTTGCTCTCTGCTCTTTTACTAACATACACAGCTGGATATGAAGTAGATGGATGTATAGTATTGTGTCTGATAATCATTATTAATATTTTGATTCAATATAAAAGCCTATATTCAATTGCTAGTCCCAGTGAGAGTATACTCATTGAATCAATGGGATTTATACAAATGTTGGCATACTCTTAGGAGTTGATTCCATGACTCTAGTTGGGACTAGCAATTTGATTTCAGCCATAGTACTAACGATAACAGAACATTCAGCTGAGTTTAATATCACTTTCCTCACATTCTGAGGACTGTATTCAAATAATAGCAAAGGATTAAGGATTAACAGGAATAACCACTGAAAATAGTACACTGACTCCTCATATCTTTTGGAGCTACAGTAGAATTTGTAAACCTCTAAGTAGAGATGTCATAGCAGAGACTTCAGAAGAATGGCCCCACTGAAGTCAGTAGATCTTACCATATACAAGTCCAAAACTTTTCTATACACAATATTTCAGATCATGCACAAAATGTGTTTACATTAACACAAACAATGTGGTGTATAGTACTTTGAACAGGAATCTATATCACAACTGAATTCATTTTATTGTCCTGGGCGTACAAGTGAGATGAGAACCTGCTGCAAGAATCACATAATTGTTGAATGGGTCCTCTCAAAAATACTCACAAGATAACAGTTTGGTCATCTGAATTGATTGTTTGTAATAAATTCTAATGTTAAAAGTAAACAGAAATCTTCATTCAGTGGGAAGAAGCTTTGCTCACCAGTATTTATAAAATCATCCATGATCTAGAGTACGTCTGTGGTCTCTGATAACTTAACATTGGAATAATGCTACTGATGGGAATAGGACTAATTTATAAATAAGTTATTTATAGCCTGTGGCCAAAATGGAAGTAATAAATTTAAAATTTATGTTTATCTCTCTTCTCCATTTAGAAGACACTACAACACAAGCCGAAATTATAACACAAACTGAAATTATCACTAATTTGGATGTGCAAGAAAATGATCATCAAAAGACAGATTACATTGGTTACGAGAACCTAATGACCAAATCTTTAAGTACTGTTGAAAACACAAAAGCAAAAGATGCATCAAATCCCACAGAAAATGAAAAACTAAGTGACAGTTGTAACCAGCCCTTAAAAACAGAGAATAAGAATGTTGATGAATGTTACATGATCAGTTCTTTGGTAAAAAGAGACAGAATTCATGTTTCTGATCCACCATACTGTTCTTCTGAGGATAATGAAAGTAATTCAGAAATGCTGGACAATGAATGGGAGACTTCCTCAAATTTCTCTGAAGAGACAAACTTAAAACTTCCTGTAAATAAAAAATACATTGTTGGACATAATGAGCAAGATGTCTTAAACGTTCCAGGAGTCAAAACTGAAGCAGAAGATTTTAACAATTCAGAAATTGTTTGTGACTCAGAAGCAGGCCTGCAAGAATCACAGGAGTCACTCATGGAGTCTTTTAGTAACAGACTTCAGAATCCATTGCCAGACAGTGAGGAGGATGAGTGTCTCTCGGAAAATACTGAAATGTCTTTTGATCTGGACAAAACCAAACAAAACTTGAGCTTGCTGGAACGCGCAATCGCTCTGCAGGCAGAGCAGGGTCATGTCTTTCATAGCACCTACAAAGAGCTGGACAGGTTTCTACTGGAGCACCTTGCTGGTGAAAGAAGACAAGCCAAAGTGATTGATCTTGGTGGCAGAGCAATCTATAACAACAAACGTAAGTTAATGTCCCTTTTTACTGGTGGCATGCACATCAGACAGGTGATAAAGCTTATTGAGACAGTTCTTTGTATTTAACCTGCAATTTACCAATTTGGGGTTTTTCATTTGATACCTCAACCACATGTAATTTTTGGGCAAAGGTTGCATTGGATCCCTTCTTGTATTGCATACTGCCCATGACTGAATAAATTCTTCATGCCTGCAGTATTCTGATTTAAAGAAGGACCTGTTCTTCTAGGCAAATTAGGAACCATTGCTCAAGACCTGCACAAGGCTACATTGCTTTAAATTTACTTACCTCTATGCATGCTAGGTTGCGGCCAATTAGTTTAATAACTAGCAAATCCACACAGTTTGTTTATTCTGGTCTTTTTCTGAAATTTAGTTCATACACCTAGGGTGCATTACAGTGAAGAATTAATGCAGTTTGGCAATATTTACACCCACTTCACACTGCCCTCTTGGGCTGTGCCATTTCGCCAGCAATTATCGGGGGAAAGGAAAGGTGTGCAAGGCGGCTTCAGGTGCCCTGCATGCCCTCCCTTCTTCCCCCATTATACAGTGGGGACAGAACAGGGTGCATTGGCACCCTGTACTCATCAGATGGGAGAAAGGGCAGCAATGTGCATTATCCCACCACCTTTCCCACCATCATATGGGGAAAAGGAAAGGAAAGTGCAGGTAACTCAGCTGGAGCTACCCAAAATACACTTTCCTTCCTGTAGTGGTAAAGGAATACATTTTTCCCATTCTCTTTGTCTCCTGAATTACAGCAGAAGAACTTGGGGTTCATCTACACTGTAGAATTAATGCAGTTTGAGAACACTTTAACTGCTGTGTGGGAGTTGTAGTTTTACAAGGTCTTCAGTCTTGTCTGCCAAAAAGTACTGGCACCTCAACGAACAACAGATCCCAGGATTTTATAGCACTGAGCTATGAGAGTTCAAGAACCTCTTCACACAGGGCATTTTAGTCCCATTTTGCCACTTTGTTTCACAGCCTGCTGTGTGCCATCACATGATGCATGGCAGGCCCATCCACATTCCTCGCAAAGTGGAAGGGAAGTGCCAAAAGGTGCTTTTGTTTGTTTGATTTGTTTCCAGTGGCATTAGTATGGAGTAGATGAATTTTAAATTTGTTGGATATTGTTTGAATTACTACAACAATGAAAAAGTAAGGTCCATCTATGCTGACCACTTAGCATGAAGGACCTGAGAATCAGCTCTATGGCAACTAATTGATTCAGGCCAAATCTGCTCCACATTCTCCCCCAGAATCTGAAGCAAACCACTTATTTGAGGCCATGTAAACACTTGGAACAGGTCTGAGACAGAACCAGCTGCAACTGTTTATATGGCATCCTGTGTTCACTGGGGTCAGTCTTGGGGACACAGGATGACACTCACTGTATTCCCTGTTGCTGCTTCCAGTGAGTAAACCATGCTGGTTGCTTCTCATCTGGAATGATGTTTGCTGTAATAATGAGGCAATTAGAGAAAACAGGGGGCAAAGAAAGGAGTCATTCCTCCCTCCTTCATCCTAAGTTGCTCTGGTGCTCCAGCTGTGCCCCAGCTGTTATGCCAGATGAGTGACTGACATGACCCATATCACAGTCACTGGCCATTGCAACAAGGAAAATGGGAGGGGAAGATAGAAGTAAGTTTCAGTAGTGCCAGAATGAGTTTGGAGCCATTAGACAGTCAGGTGGTCTAACTCATCCTGGGGTTGATCCAGCATTCATCACTCCAGATTGGCCTCAGGATAAGTGGTCAGTGTGGCCTGTAGTCTTCTATATTTTTAGTTTACATATTATTTGAAAATATCATTACAGTTTTATAAAACAGACTCAAAACTGTAAAACTGTGAAAAAAGATTATCCACTATGTAATAAGAAGAAACTAAAACAGCCATTCTTACATTCAATTTGTTTTCTTCAAGAGCAATATCAGTCCCTATGAAATTATCAGTTCTCAGTTATAGCTGAGTCATTCAGAGGCATTATGAATTTCAAAGTGCTCTTATGACATAGAATTCTCACTATTATAATAATCCTTAACAATGAAGCCTAAATGCATTGTATGTGTTTTGAATATTGAACACTTTGGTAAATGGAAGGTATTTTAAGAATAAAAATTGAATGAATGAACAAATGCTGTCAGATGTATTTATAGTGCCTTGTATTTTATCATATCAAATGTATCCATAATATTATATAAATCAATGCAAGCATCAATGCCTCAATGAGTTCCAATTTATGCAAGTCTGCATCTAGGATAAGATCAGCTTCTTCTGCCCTTACTCGGGACAAATTCTCTACAAGTTCATCATTGCTGAGTATAACAAACTCTAAGGTATACCAATCCTCACTAATTTGTTCTTGAATGATGCGATTACTAATTGGGAGAATGCTTCTGGAACATGGCCATACAGTCCAGAAAACTCACAGCAACCCAATGAACTATGTGGTGTAGTTCTCCCCACCACTAAAGGGTGTTGGGAAGCTAGGCAAGACCAACCTTCACCCATCCCAAGTCCCATAAATGGCCCCCTCATATGTTACCATGTTTAATGGTTTAAATGATTTTAATTTAGTTATGTTAGTATTTAGTTATTTAGATTTTTTTTTCTGTCTACATGTATGTTAGCACTGAATTTTTGCCATTAGTATGTTGTAAACTGCCTTTTCATTCCCACTGGGGTGAGAAAGGTGGTATATAAATATAGTAAATAATAATTAAATAGATAATATCAATGCCAAATCAATGAATTTAAGATACAGGCCCGCCATCCCTCAAAGTGGTGACAACTCTCTCCCCCCCCCCCCCCCCATTACCACCACCACCAAAAAAAAAAAGCCAGCTTGCAAACTGCACTTTACAATTGTGATAAAAAATGGGATGCGGCTTCAGAAGCAAGTGCCTAGCAACTACATGAGAATCCAAAGTATCTCCCACCTGACTGGGTAGCTGCTTATGTTTCAGTGAAATAATCCAGCCAAATGATATTGTATAGAGAAGATATTTGTTTCTGTTTTTGCAGACTTACCTAGACCTGAAAAGAGAGAGACCAAATGTCCTATTCCAGGATGTGATGGCACAGGGCATGTGACTGGATTGTATCCCCATCACCGCAGTCTCTCTGGATGTCCACATAAAGTCAGAGTTCCCCTTGAAAGTAAGTATCATTTCTTCATATAGAAAACTGTATTTTGTCTCATCAAAATGAAAGCATGGAGTTGTGTTGAGGAGAACCAGCCACAATCTTATCTATGAAGCAGTAAGGATCTGTGATAGGAAGTAAATTCATTAATATTTGCAAAATCTCTTTACGCTTCAGACATCAGATAATTTCCTAGATCAGGCATCCTCAAAGTGTGACCCTTCAGCTGTTTGGGCCTCCAACTCCCAGAAGCCCTAATGCACTTGTTCAGTTGTCAGGAATTCTAAAAGTTGAAGGACCAAACAGCTTGAGGATGCCTGTCCTAGATTCTCCACCTAGGCAATCTGGACAACCCTGGCACAAAACACCAGATAATGCAGATGCAACCAATGCTTTTTATCACCCACCTATCATAAAGGGCAGCAGAAGGATCCCCTAATTGTTCCATGACATCCCTGCTTGGCAGGAGTAGTTGAAACCACTGCACTGGGGCAAAAATTGGAGTATCGAGGCTTTGGGAGACTTCAAAGGCTGAACTGTGGAATCCTAAGATCTTCATGCTGCCCATGGGTTGTACTTGGGAACATATATGATGAACCAAAGAATGAATGTGTTGTGTTATCACCAGCAACAAATATAGACTTAATCCACACAGGATTCCCAAACAAAAGCCCAATCTCCATTTCCCTCTACAAAATTTTGAGAGGAATTATAGCAGAAGACAGGAGTATTTAGGGTTTGTGCAGAGTTCTGTGGTCTTTTGTGGGTAACGTGGGATGCAGTATTTTCATGGGTCTTCTCTCATTTGAGGAAATGTTTTGTGTGATTTGACAAAAATTGCCTGAAAATAGCACCATTTTTTTTCCAGAAAATGGGGATTGGGGGGGACTGGTGAAGGACTTTGAGGCCACTAAATGGGAGTCACATTTGTCATGAATAAGTTTTTAAAAAGTAGCCCCAGGTCCAACCCTGGCCAGTAATTTAGTCTACTCCCTGTAATTAACTCATCCCCCGGGCAATATTACTACCATATGAGCATGACCAGCCCTTTCTAACTGCCTAGGCCCATATACAAGAGGGACTATTGGACCTTGCACCTTGGATTATTATGGAATCGGTTTGTTTTAATACATAGGATTGTGTTAAGAGGTTATGTTTATATTTTAATGGCTACTCTGTATGTTTTATGTTTGCCTTTTATGTTTAAGTCCCTTACTTCCTTACTTCCTTACTTACTTATTTAGGCGATCCCTCGTTGGGTGAGTAGGATAGTCTTCCATGATCAGTATTCTTGTGGATCCGTAGGTGGCTGTAGAGCCCTATTCTTGACCTGCATCTTCTCCCACAGTGAGGGCATTGGTTTCCAGGTGGAAGGCGGTCTTGGTGGGGGTTGGCTTGATATGCCTTCCTCCTGGCACGTTTCTCTCTTTCACCCTCCATTTCTGCCTCTTCAAATTCTGCAGCACTGCTGGTCACAGCTGAACTCCAGCTGGAACGCTCAAGGGACAGGGCTTCCCAGTTCTTGGTGTCTATGCCAGAGATCCCTTAGAGGAGATAGAGCAGTATATAGATAAAGTTTTTTTATTATATTATTATAACCACAAATTTCACAACCTACAGTGAAGTTGATGGGTATTCAATATGTTGTTCTCTTTTTATTTAGTCCTGGCTATGCATGAAAATGTTCTAAAGTGCCCAACTCCTGGATGTACAGGAAGAGGACATGTCAACAGTAATCGTAACACTCACAGAAGGTAATCCTACTCTTTTTACCAGTGACAATAAAGTAGCATTTCCAAGACTGGAACATTTTCATTGGCATTTATCACTCATTCTGTGCAAAAGGATAACACAACCACCTAACTCCCACAGGAAAAACTCTCTTATAGCCAAATGAGTGGAATAGTCTATTCAAATGTAGACAAATATAAGACATAGTCCAGCTAAAATGAAGTACTCTCAGGTCCCATCATCTTTAGCAGGAAGCAATTAAACACCTACTTCCTTCTCTCATTAAAATCACAGAAACATTGAAATGCTGAAGTATAGGTTGAATGGCTCAGTCATTTTCTGTAATAATCTGACCAATGAATTGCTGTTTGTTCTGTCTTTACAGGACTATTATCTCTTAACATTCAGTCAATATATTTAAAAAGAAAAATAGGTTTAGCCATTGGTAAGGGTATAGACAGCTACCCGACCTGTGCCAGTAAATTATGTTGAAATATATACATTTTAACAATCCATCATATAAATCAATACATAATTTAAATGCTTCTGCAACCTAATTCTATGAGAAGTCATATTTGTGTCCTTGATTTTAAATATATGCAACGAGGAATTAGCAACAAATAAAGTGAATGACAAAGGATTTTATTCATAAATACAGAAAAGGCCAATTTTATGTGGTGAAAGCAATGTGATCAGATGTTTTTGGTGTACTTAGTGTGCTGATTCAATCTTCTGACTTCTCCAGCATATGTTCAGGCTATGATTCACCATGAATTGATCCAGTACACCAAAAAATAGGGATAAGATTAGCTTGGGTTAATTTCCCCATTGAAGAAACAGATGTGGGGATGAGTTTTCTATTACAAAATCTTGTTACAGGGCCAGCATTACCCCTAAAAGATTGAGTGATGCTTGGTGATGTATGGAGGTAAGGAAGAGGTATGGGCAACAAGACTGGGTTGATGGAAATGGGCAGACAAAAAGTTCAGAGAACATGTGGGTGAGATATGAATGGATAAGCAAGGGCAACCAGAATCAGTCAGGGATCTTCATTATGTGGAGGAGAGGGAACTCCAGCAGGACATAGATGCCTGTGCAGAAAGAGATATAGCTGGCATTTCAGAGGATAAAGACAAAAACCAATAGCAATATGCTAAATAATGTTGCATAGAATGCCAAAGTGCAAATTTAAAATGTTCCCTCCATTGGGGAGAAGAAAGATAGGCTATTAAGAAATACTCATATGTGACAAATCTCTTTCAAACAGTCTTTCCGGTTGCCCCATTGCGGCAGCTGAAAAAATGGCAATGTCTCAGGAAAAAAATCCACAAGAATCACCCAACATGGGGCAGTGCCACGATCAGGTCCACAGGTAAGACTCACCCATCATTTCATACTTCAGGCATGTGGGCAAAACATATTTGTAACTAACATTGTAGCCTGCAATACCTTGAGATGCCGTTCTTGTCATTCTGTAGTGCAGATAGCAATGTACAAAATCTAAGTTAATCAACTCTATAATATTGTGTGAAAAACACAAGTGCCTCTCTATAAGTGAAAAGACTGCAGGCATAATTTTGGGTTTGCAGCAGTCAATATAGGAGTGAGGCTTCTTTTCCTACATAGACTGAATGAAAAATGCCTTTGTGATTCATGTTCTAAGACTGCAAAATGCAAATTTGCATGACATTAGTACTGAAGATAAGGTTAGTACCAGCAATTTGCCATACAGTCAAGCCATTAGAAAAAAACACAATATGAATGTTGTGGTGAATATCCTATTACAAGTGTACCTGATGGATGAACATTTGTGTTGAGTATCACACATAGAAACAAACTTCCAAATATGAAACAATCCTAAAAAGAATGACTTCCATATGTATTCGGTTAAGATTAGCTTCTTCAGAAAGTGTTGCACTGAGATCACATTGCTGATATTTTAAAGTACATTTTCTTAGTAGCACCTCTTCAGTATTCCTTGCAAGAGAATAAAACCAATATTATGTTATTTTATTCATTCTCTCTCTACAGAACAAACTTGGTGAAACAACTTGAATTATCTCAGTATAGCGGTCGATCTGTCCAGCCAATCCCTTTCTCCAGAGCCATCTTTACAAGAGAGCAAGAGAAATGTGGAAAAATACCATTCGACTATGCTAGTTTTGATGCCCAAGTCTTTGGCAAACGCACAATGATGCCAGCTATGCAAGGACAAAAACCTACACAATTCCTTGACTGTAAGTGAGAGACAGACACAAATCAATTATTCTTGTTTTGGTTTTGAATTATGTCTCAGAAAAATGTCAATAGCATAGTTTAAACCATATAGCTTGACTGTAACATTTCAAAAACATGCTATAGTAATAATAATAAAAAAGAGTCTAGTCAATAGAATCATGGAAAGAGGTGTATTTGCCTGCAGAAAAAGAAAGTTGAGTGCACAGATTTGGAATGTGGCTGCCCATATACACATATACAAACACAAATAGGCATCCTTTATAGATGGAGTACTAAAAATTCTAAATATTTCTTTGCTCTCTCTTGTTTTATAGAACCCTAAATATGTAAATATTTTAAAATAAGGCTGGGGTCCAGCATACTTGGAAATTGAATCTTGTTTAGCTGTGTATTTTCTCTCAATCACATTAAAATATATGTCTACAACCATAGCTTGGAAACATTAACATTTTGTTTTCATAGAAAATTAATGTGATTAATATTTAAGTGTAAAGGAAATTTTATATAATCAGTTTATTACATTAATTGTTAATAAAAATGCTAATCACTAATTTGTTAAATAAAACAATAATTTATAATTTACTAAAAATGGTCAACCCTTCTAGTACTCACAAAGGTAATGAATTAAAATAACCGGACACTTCAATAAGCTAATATCAACATGTTTAAGTTTTAAAATATCAAAGTTTGAATTTGTTGTTAAAATAATGATTTTTTAAAAATTGGAACAAATAATCTCCAGATTCTGTTCAAAATGACTTAAGTCTCGGGTAAAGGATGTTTGCTTCACAAAAAATGGAGACATTGTGGATCAATGTTATAGAATCTCCTCTTTCCTGAAATTCACTGGAATTTACAAAGCTATCCCTGATAATGTTTCTAAATTATTATAAAATGAACAGGATCCTGAACAATACTGATATTTCTTGAACTACCCAAGATTTCATGAAAATATCATTACTACGTCAGTGAAATAAATCATTGGTTATTTCCCTGGGTTGTCCAGGGAGAGGTGGTCCAGAGTACCAGTTTCTATCAGTTCCCAACATGATGGTAAAATATAACAGAAAGGAGTTATTGGCATTATTGTTCAACAAACTCCTATCTAAAGAATTCTGACTAATGTTGTAATAACTGAGGATATCCAATGAACTGAATAGCTACTTAATTCTACATTCTTATTTTAAAATACCTTGACACCGAATGGAATGTTCTATCTTCCTTGTTGATATTATACTTCACATTTATCTATGCAAGGGAAAATATGTTATTTAGCAAAATTCAAAATGAATTTACCAAAAGAATAAAGCATTGCAATAAATGTGAGGCAAACAATAAACATTGCAATAAATGTGAGGCTTGGCTGTAACCCAGCATTGTTGTAGTTTAGGCACACCAATTTTGTTTCTGTTTTATATATTGAAAAGTCAGTGGTAAATGAACCATCGTGTTCGTGCTAATAAAATTGATAATTCTATTTATGCTTAAACTGTTACTGAGCCAACTGTGACTTGTTCTTGATTCACCCATCACTGAAAGTGATGGAAGTAAAAAGATCTCCAGAGAAAGGAATAAAGAGATTCCTTTCATAGAATAAATAGTTCACTCTTTCCTCTTCTATTTGAAATAAGACTGCTTGAACATTTGTATAGCATCTTTGGATTTCTGACAACCATATCAACAGGAAAAAAAACCTCTGAAGTTTTTAATGTATTACTTTCTGAAGCTCTGAGTAGCAATGTTGACTTTCTAATCAGGTGCAGATATTTTTTATTTTATTTTTTTACTTCTTTTGGAAATTGAAATGATAATATATTTTTAAAAAATAGCATCTTTAATAGGGGTAACAGTTTCATGCAATCTATTTCTAATCAAATCTCTCTTCAACAGCAAAGCATTTTTCAAATCCAGGGAAATTTTCTAATCGGCTGCCTAGTGCTAGCGCCCACACACAGAGCCCTTGCCATGCCAACTCTTACGGCTACGGTCAATGTAGTGAAGACACCCACATAGCAGCAGCTGCTGCAATCCTGAACCTTTCCACCCACTGCAGGGAAACAGCAGAGATCCTCTCCAACAAACCACAGAGTCTGTCTGCCAAGGTAGGCCAGTCCAAGAACCTGGAGGGTGTGCTAGCTACTGAACTGCACGAATAAACTGTCTTTCATGTTAGTGACTTCATTCGATTTCTCTTTTTCTCCCCTTCACAAATAGCAGAAGGAAGAAAGGGATTTTAAAAGGAGCAGCTCCTTTCTGGATGCTCTTTGGAAGAGAGACAGAGGGATGATTTGGGGAGGGGAAAGAAATGTCAAAGCTGTAGGCTGCTCTTGTAGGCAGTTTCTGTAATAGGCTTCAAAAAAAGAATTAAAATGAAAGAGTGGAGTCAGTTTTTGGTGGACACACTGCAAACACATTGTATCAGAGTTTTGTCTTTGCATGGTGAAAAGAGCTATTGTAGGATGAACCAAAATAGAGGAGACCATGTCACATATTCAAATTTTGATATTTCTTGTTAGTTTTTCTAATTTAGCTAAATATCTTAAAACTATTCAGACTATTATTTAGAAATGAGCAAAAGCTATTTCAATTCAGAAACTGAGGCTGAGAAGAGATTTCGTGCATGTCTGATTGTTTACAATTTTGTATTTCATTTCAATCATGTTCCCTTTTCAGTGATAGTTAAGCAGCATAGAAAAAGTATCATGCTGTTATAAAATTTTATTACATTGGGCATAAAATACCCATGAGTATATTGCCTTGGAAATCAGTAGATTTGACCCTTTGCGGTTCTAAGCTTTAGAAATACCATTGCATATCATTTGTTTCTCTGGGAGCTTTGTTAGAAAGGGAACTGTGGTGCTAACAGACCTTCATTCAAACACACTGAATCAGTCTGGTAGAAAAGATGGATGGGTGCAGAGTCATGGAAAAAGTTGGTCTGTGAAACATGCTCTAGAAAAGTACACAAAACATTGCCTTTATACTTGAATATGCTCTTTGTGACATATGTCTGTTTTACAAACACAATGGTAGCCCTATAAGCAACATTTATTCTGGCCGGAGAGAAACTCCTTCCTTGGAACTTCTGTTTTACAACATTATCCCTGGCAACCAATCCATATTTATTCAATTAGTTGAGGTATTGTGAGATAGAATTTTCTGCTTTTCTATTTCTATTGAGAGGCTTTCGTTCTGATGGGCTTGCTTTTTCAAGCCAGCAAAGAGGACAGTGTTAGATTCATCGACCTGCAAGCCAGACAAAACCTTTTTTAGGGCTTGGGATTTGTTGCCGATTTTCTCTGGGTCCACGGCTTTATTTCTGTTACTGGCCAGAACCATCATTGAGTGCTGGGTTATGGCAAAGGCATCTCTTTCACGCTCTTGTGTTGAAAAGGAGGCTGATGCCAGAAGCTCTATTAAATTGCTTTCCCTACCTTTGGCTGACCTTAGAAACAGACCTTTCTTGCCAAAGAAAGGTAATAAAGGGACCGTACATAAGATTTTTTTCTCTCTCCACTGTACACCTGTTTTGAATTTGCCAAAGAAGGAAAGGCAATCATAACGCCTCATTGTAGCATTTGGGGTGTATAGTGGTGGGTGGGTGGCATCCAGATTTTTAAAAATAAAAATGTCCTTTGTAATCTCATCTTCTGCCAATTATCACTTTTGCCAAACTTCCAGTAGGACACAATGACAACCAGTGGTAGAGAGTATCTGACAGAAGAATTAGAATTAGCTTCTGGCCAGAGAGGAGGCAAGCAAAACTGAAAGCGATGGGGTTGCCAAAATCACACATATTCTTTTTATTTGGTTTGGATAATCATCCATTTTCTAAAATGGGTGATTTAAGCAGGAAAATATATGATATAATATTCTCTAGATACATGTACCTAAACTAAAATAAATTATGCTACAATATTCAAAATATAAGCTGAATCCAACACAGTTACATTTTTTGTTTTAATTTGATATGGTGATGTTTCTGGTTTTTTCTTACTGTTTCCCTTTTATTCGTTTTTATTTGTTTAGGATATATCTTTTTTAAAAGATTTGTTTTGAGCCTGAATCTTTTTTCTCAGAAAGCATTACTTTGAAATAAGATCAAAGATGAACTTGAAATTGCCTCAACTTTGCTTTCTGACTTCATGTAGCTTTTTGCAATTGTTTTGAAAAATAGTGTTGCAATTAGATTAATGGCTTAATGCTTTAAAAATGTTTAGACTTCATATTGTTTTAGCTATTTTTGTTTTAACTTACATTTTAAGATACTTTGAGATTCATTTGGGAGAAAGGCTAAATAAAATCTAATCAAACAAATAAAAAAATGAAAGATATATTGGGAGCATTTCCTATGAATGAAAAATGAATTTGTGGAGGTTCCATTTCTTTCACTGCTGCTTGAGAAGGAAATGTTTTTGTATAAGTGACTGTAATAGAGAAGACACTACATTGAGTTTTAGTCAACACTTTAAGGGAATTAACCAAGGTGCTGACACTTGCAATTACAGCAGCTTTAATAGTTTCTAAAATACAGAATTGTTGCAGTACCCCACTAAAAGTACAGACTCCTGTGGGACTATACGTTTGAAAATAGAGACTTCCTTATCCTCTTAGTACAGGAACTAGATATGGGGCACCATTTTTCGAATGCAATAAGACCAATTTACAACAAGTAAGAAGCCAAATGGTGAAGGGCCAAATGACGGACAGTATACTAATACAAAGAGGGACAAGACAGGGCTGCTCCCTCTCTCCCGTACTATTTATTATGGTTCTCGAAATTCTGCTGAACAACATAAGGGAGGACAAAACTTTACTAGCCGCAAGAATAAGAAGGGAATCATATAAGCTACATGCCTATGCCAATGACATAATCTGCATAATAGAGGACGCTTTAGAAACATAGGAGCCTGGCTGAAGAAGATAGAAGAATTTGAAAGTGTGGCTGGTTTCAAACTGAATAAGAACAAAACAACTATTCTGACTGAAAACATTACAAAAACAAAGCAAAAGAAGTTAGAAGACTCCACAGGAATAAAAGTGATGTCCAAAATAAAATATCTAAAGATATTTTATGCATAACTATTAAAAATAACTACGAACAAAAGTGGAGAGAAATTTTTTGTAATTAGGAAGGACTTGGAGAACTGGCAGCATCTAAATTTGTCACTTAGGCAGGATTGCCATGATAAAAATGAGTGTATTGCTGAAATTAATATTCCTCTTTCAAGCCAACCCGATTATTAGAAACATCCAAACTTTCAGGGCATGGAATAAAGATCTAACAAAATTCATATGGGCAGAGAAAAAACCTCGAATAAAACTCTCCAACCTGACTGATGACAAAAAGAGAGGAGGCCTGGCGCTACCAGACCTCAGATTGTACCATGAAGCATGTGGTCTCCAATGGATGCGAGATTGGTGTAGCCTTAATAAAATAAAATAATTAACATTAGAAGATCACAATCTACACAGTTGCTATTTATTGTGTCATCAGCAACCATACCATTGTGTTACAATTCTAACAGAACAAAACAAACACACAGATTAATAAGAAAAAGAAAGAAAAAAACACAGAGATTTTGCAAATTTGGTAGTTGGTTAAATGTCCTTTGACCAGTATCTGGCCACTTGGAGTGCCTCTGGTGTTGCCGCAAGAAGGTCCTCCATTGTGCATGTGGCAGGGCTCAGGGTGCATTGCAGCAGGTGGTCAGTGGTTTGCTCTTCTCCACTCGCATGTCGAGGATTCCACTTTGTAGCCCCATTTCTTAAGATTGGCTCTGCATCTCGTGGTGCCAGAGCGCAGTCTGTTCAGCGCCTTCCAAGTCGCCCAGTCTTCTGTGTGCCCAGGGGGGAGTCTCTCATCTGGTATCACCCAAGGATTGAGGTGCTGGGTTTGAGCCTGCCACTTTTGAACTCTCGCTTGACATGAGAGAAGCCTCCTCGCAGGATTGCAAGATATCCGGGCGTCCCCTGGGCAACGTCTTCGTAGACGGCCGAGTCTCTCGATCCAGAAGCAACCAGAGACGACTTACGCAGTTGCTGGCATGTGTACACATGGTATGACAAAAGAGTGATAGAGAATTACTTCGGCAGTCATTTTATTCGCTCATCCATTATGAAGATCTGGGAAAGACACAAAAGCAAATTCCATAGGAAAAAAAAAACATCTATGGGTATCCCATCTAGAAGCATCGCAGAGACAAGAACTAGGATGGGACACATGGCCGATATATAAGGAAATCCTAATGAAACAAGTTAATGGCTACACCCTAAAGACCCAAGAAGAAATAAAAAGAACTTACCATAACCTATCATGGTTCCAATATAGACAATTAAAGGAGGCATTCAATAAAGACAAAAAAGCTGGATTTGAAGAAGGGGAAAAAACATGGGACAGGATCCTTCTTTCAAAAATAAATTAATTTCCAAAATCTACAAAATACTCCTAACTTGGTTGACAGAGAAAGATCAAGTAAAAGAATGCATGGTGAAGTGGGCACAAAACATCGACCACAATATTCAAATAACAGACTGGTAGAACATATGGAACACCAAAATAAAATATACAGGCTCCCAAGACTTATGCGAAAACTGGTACAAGATAAATGTTGGAAATGCCACTCACAGGTGGGATCCTTCTACCACCTTTGGTGGACTTGCGAAAAGACCAGCGGTAAATCATCTTGTACCAGTTTTCGCGTATTCTTTTCCAAAGCAAAGTCAACAATTCCTTAAAGGAAATACTCAGGTTTTAGGTCTATAGTTATGCCCAAGATTCTTTGCATAGCTATGTGGATCATTTTCCAGAATTTGGATGTCTTTTCGCAAGTCCACCAAAGGTGGTAGAAGGATCCCACCTGTGAGTGGCATTTCCAACATTTATCTGAAAGGTTCTTATAACATTTCACTAGTTTGCTAAAACCTGAGTATTTCCTTTTAGGAATTGTTGACTTTGCTTTGGAAAAGAATAACAAAAAATTATTCAACTACCTGACCACAGCCACAAGAATTATATACACCAAAAATTGGAAAGGAAAAGACTACCAAGTATAGAGGATTGGATAATCAAAATTTTAGAGATTATGAATATGGACTGCCT